GGCAAGCAATATACCCATGACCTGCACGCCCGTCTGCCACTCTAACGCCGCCATGAGAGCGGGGCGTGGCGCGCTCGCCTCTCTCGGCGCCTCTGCTGGTTCGCCCTCGCCCTCGGAGTCGTGCAGGACCATGGGTCCAGCAGGGCCGCTGGCCCCGCAACTGCGGTACGCCCGCACCTCCTCCACGGTTAGTTCCTGCGTGACAACGAGCATGTCGTGCAACCACGGTTCGTCCCAGCGGCGCACCCCGAAATCGTACAGTTCCTCCCGAAGCCATTTGCGCGTCTCGGCATTTTGCGGTTTCTGCTACATCATCGCCATAAGGTCAATGCCGCAGTTTCCATCGCAAACAGTCCCTAGGACCCATTGTCCCAGAGGACCGTAGAACCTGTTCAACGCGTCCGCCCCCTCAGAGCACACGCCACCCACCGCAACTGCGGCCACCCAGTGGCGCACCTCATGGAGAGGGTTCTCGGGAGTCACGGGCCTGAGTTCCACCGTTGTCCATACCCCGAACAGATCCTCAGCAGCGGCGAGTACGCACGCCACGCCGTCGACGGCGCATGGCTCAGTGCACTTCTCCTTTGCCCAAGGCATGTAGAAGTCAAGGAGGTCCTTGCGGTTCTCGCCTTCCCACACGTAAGGTTGACGCCCGAACCGCAAGGCAAACAGCATGAAAGCTGAATGCCCTATGTAGGAATTCTCGGACAGAATCTGCCTCAGGAGAGCCATCACGCGGTCAGGCACCGTCGCCGCCACTGCGGCCTGGATCTTTTGCGCGTCTTCCACAGGTACACCTTTCTCTGGCGCCAGGGATGGCGCCGCGACTCGTGGCCGCAAGGCGTCGCCAACAGGCGCCGCAACTCGTGCTGCAGCCTTTGGGTCTGGGCACGGGAAGAATGCGACCTGCGTCTTCGACCAGTTCTCTGGCAGCGGCCGCGCTGGTGGCAAGCGTGCTGTAAGTGGTGTGTCTTTGTCCGCTTCCACTCCCTCAGGAGCTTCAACCGCAATTGCGGTCTCCTGCGCAGCAGGCGGGTCTGGTGTTGCGTGCACTTGAGCGGGAGGAGCTGGAGGGACTGCTGCTGCGGGTGCTTCGGGCACAGGGGCTGCTGGAGGTTTGGGTTCTGCGGGTGCTTCTGGTGCTGGAGCTGCGTGTCCTTCTTGCGCAGGAGCTGCGAGTTCTGCTGGTGTTGCTGGTGCTATGTGTGCAGGGGCCGAGGGAGCCGCAACTGCGGTGCCGCCTGGAGCCGCAACTGCTGGTGGTGGCGTCGCGCCCGGTCGCCAAGCAGACGGCCGCAAATGAAAGCGAGGCGGCTCAGCAAGGCCGTGCTGCGACGCGGGCCACTTCGCTAGGCACGGAAAATCCGCACATGCGTGCACCTTTATCTTCTTGGGGCACGGAACGCCGCTACTGCGGCCCAAGATGTTGGCGAGCCCAGTGGTGCCATACTTCGTTTTCCTCGGTGCGCAGCCGCTGTCGTAATGGAGCCACTCCACCTCGAAATGCGTTCCGTCCTCCTCGCCATACCAAGTCCGCCCCACGGGAACATCCATGAGCGGTCGCGTGGCGAACGACTCGGGCCGGGCACTCGGCTGCGGGCTACAGAACTAGGAAGAGGGAGGGGAGGAGGGAGGAGCAACTGAAGACGATGCGGAGAGGCGAAGAAGGAGGTACTTTTCAACAACGCACGCGCGGAAGCCCCAATCATCGCGCGCACAGGGTTTCGATGCTTCACTCCATGCTTCTCTAAGAAAAACGCTCGCCCACACAAGTTGGCGCACTAAGGCGTGCACCCGTGGAACACCCTAAACCTTCCGCCTGCCTCCCCACACCGCCTCGCCCTCCGCGTGTTCACGCGCACCCAGCCACCCCGCAACTGCGGGCACTCAGTAGCCCCACCGCAACTGCGGCCCATACGGCTTCGGGCCTCAGTCGAACAGACTGGGGATTTGGAGCTCGAGGTAATCCAGAGCCGCTTGCTTGCGCTGGTGCTGCGTCATGCCCTCCCACTCGTAGTCGTAGCCCTTCACCGACTGCGCCGACTGCCACTTCTTCTTTGTAAGTTTCTTCACATCCATCTCGATCCTTTTGCCCTCGTTGGCACACTCTCGCGTGATGGTCGCGACCCAAGCGCCCTTGAAGTCCCAAACGACGGTGAAGCCAGAGCCGCTCCCCTGCGCCACGGGGGGGTCGACCTCCTTTTGCTTCGCCAGCGGGGTGGCAGGGTCAACCGCCGTTGCCCAGTCCCTGTCCGCCACTGCGGCCTCGCCCTTGTCGCCGTCGCCGATGTCGGGGACACCGCCGAGGCTCACGTCGTCCACGATCATGTCGATCAGCCACCCAAGGTCTGCAGCGCCCAGCCACAACGTCCTCCGCTTGAAGCTGGCCACCCGCACGTTTCGAACGGCCGTGTCGTGCGGAAACTTCATGGGGCTCTTTGCGGGCATCTGTACAGAGTGCACAGTGGCTATGGCCGACTCCACGGCCTCGCCCCTGGGCAGGCCAGTAGTCGCCGCACGCGTTCCAGTCTTCGGCTTCTTGGCGCTGGTCGGGGTCGCTGCCTGCTTCTTCGTGGCGTCCGTGGGGCTGACCAGGGCCGACATGGGGTCATCTGCTTCGTCCCCCGCGTCGCCGTCGCTCTCATCGTCCGCAACTGCGGCGCCGCCCTGCTTCGCGACTTCTTTCTTCAGCGCGTCCCAGGCCTTTGAGGCCTTCAAGGCCCCTGCGGTCGGTTTACCTTTGGCGCACACCTTGAGCAGCCAAGGCTTTTGCATGTTCACGTGCACGAAAGTTATCTCTCCGAGGGGCCATGCGTGGAGCACCTTGACATCCTTTTCGGGGGCGGGGGTGGTCTGCGCAAGCCAACCTCCACGGATGCACAAGACCTTCTCAACGCACACAGGGCTCCATTCGCTCGAAGTCGGCATGTGTGCTACTGCGCTGGACACGGCCGCAACTGCGGGCAAGGCGGAGGCGCGGGCAGTGGGGCCGCGCGCGGTTGAGCCAGATGGCGAGCTGAACGCCTCCCTGGAGGGCCTCCCTCGGCCCCTGCGATCCTCGCGCCTCCCTGGAGGGCCTCCGCCCTCAGAATGCTTCAAAGCAGTGCCGGGGCACTGCTTTGAAGCACCCGGATGCTTCAAAGCAGTGCCTTTGCATTTGCTTAGCAGCACCCTGGTGCTTCGCGAAAAAAAAAAAAAAAAAAAAAAAAAAAAAAAAAAAAAAAAACAAAAAAAAAAAAAAAAAGAAAAATAAAAAAAAAAAAAAAAAAAAAAAAAAAAAAACAAAAAAAAAAAAAACAAAAAAGAAACATAAAAAAGCAGTGCCGGGGCACTGCTTTGAAGCATTTGGGTGCTTCAAAGCAGTGCCGCGGCACTGCTTTGAAGCATTCTGAGGGCGGAGGCCCTCCAGGGCCTCCGCCCTCAGCCCAGGGCCCTCCAGGCCCTCCCGGGCCTCCAGGGAGGCCCTCCAGGGCCTCCAGGGCCTCCAGGGAGGCCCTCCAGGGCCTCCAGGGCCCTCCAGGCCCTCCAGGGCGGAGGCCCTCCAGGGCCTCCAGGGAGGGAGGGGGGGAGTGAGGAAATGAGTAGTTTCGGCTTCCAACTGGGGAGGAAGGGGAGAAAGGAGGAGGAGAGAGGGAGGAAGTGGAGGAAGGGCGAGGGAGGAGAGGGAGAAGGGAGGGAGGAGGTCCGTTTCGAACCTCCGTGCTCGATCGTCAGCGGTCCGCTACTGCGGCATCAGCTAACAGAAGCAGTGACACTGCAAACTACTCGAGCGCTCCGCAACAGCGGTCACGCGTGCGCCCCCCCCTTCGGCCTGTTGCCCGCAACTGCGGTCACGCGAGCAAGCCGCCCTGACTGCCGCCACTGCGGCTTCTTAATTAGAGCGACATCTTCCCGCTTTCGTCGAACCCTTTCTTCGATTTCTTCGGCGCGGGCTGGCCCGAAGGCTTCCCATTGGCCCTCTTGGCCGCGTCCGTCTTCCACGTCTCCTCGGCCGCCTTCTTCTTCGGTGCGGTTTTGGGTCTCGCCTCCCACAGGAGCTCTTCTCCTTTCTTCACGGCCGTGGTATTCACCAGCACAGGGACATTCACGGCGAGCACGACCCCGCCTGACCCAGGCACGCACACCGCCAATTCTTTCGTCTCCAGCTCCATGTTGATGCGCGCAACTGCGCTTTCATTACGGCTGTTTCTCTGCTGGATCTCCTGTTCCGTGACTCTGTTGACTGCCAAGAAGACGTGCATTGTCTCTTGCGCATCCCACTTCCATGCTCTCAACCGCACATCGTGGTCAGCCACGTCGGCGGGCGTCTTGTCCTCAGGCGGCTTGAACTCGGGGTGCAAGTAGAAGGTCGTGGGCGTGGCCCCATTTGGATCTCCTTTCACCCAGACTTGCACGGCCACCCTCTCGGGGTGCGTGCTTGCGGCGTGCACCTTGGATGCCTTTGGGACGCACGGCCACAACTCGATGCATTTTTCGTCGTTTGCAGCGGTTGCCTTGACGGTGCGTTTCTCTGTGTAAGCGTCTTGCAACACCTCTACTTGCGCTTCCGCAACTGCGGACATGTGGCGCGCCCAAAGGCACAGCAACACTGCGCTGACCAAAGCAGGCTCCCGCCCCAGCTCCTTCGCTGCCGCTGAACGCCTCCATTCGGCGATTGGCAAAGGTAAGGATCCGCGTGGAATGGCCGTCGTGTCCCTGCTGCGCTGGTGGTTCGTTGGTAATTGCGTCGTGGGGTCAAAGGAAAAGACCGTCGGCATCAACTCGTGCTCCTCTGCGGAAGCCTTTGTCTTCCCCGCCACTGCGGGCTCATTCGGTTCTGGGCGCGGCAACGCGTTGAAATCGAACCAATCGGGCTTCCCGCCTCCGACTCCCACTTCGCCGAGGGCCTTCTCAAGGGCGTCCCGATTGGACTTCTGCTCCACCTTCCCCGTGGCCTCCGCGCAAGCGCGGAGGAGCGCCTGACGATGTCCTGGGATACTTCGTTCATTGACGTGGGTGTCCTTCAGGTACTGCATGAAGCCGTCTGCGGTCAGTATGCACAGGTTCGCCTTGAACTCGATCGCCTTCTCAGGGCCCATGCCGTCGATGGCCTTGCTCAGCGTGAACAAGTACAAACGGAGAGCCGAGTTCATGTCGATGAGGAAGTCACGGAACTCCTTCTTCTTCCACGATTGTTCTGGGTCAGGGCACCACACAGGAGTGTCAACGCCCCTCTTCCTCGCAGGCGCGTTCCTGTAGCATCGCATCACACGGCAACCTTGACCCACGGCACTTCGTCGGGAAGCTCGCTGGCTGCCCCGAAGGCACCGAGCCGAAGGGCCCTTCTCCTGGAGTTCACGTAGACCTCGCAGAACTGGAGCAGCAAGGGGATGAACTGCGCTTTCGTGCTCCCGAGCCCTACAACGAACGAGAACAGCTCAATGAAGTCTGGGTCCTGAACGACTCGATCGAGTTCGTGCATGACGGAGAGCTTGACCTTTTCAAAGGCAACCTGATCCGCAACTGCGGCGTGCAGCTCCGCGTCAACAGCCTTGCACAGAACACGGAGCGCGGTGAGATCAGTCGTTCGCAACGCAAAATCGGCTCCTTTATTGAGGGACTGGCTGATGAGCGAAGCACCAGTGGGTTCCTCGTCCATGATTTTCCAGCTAAGCACTTCCATGAGCATACCCCCCTGCACGAGTTTCTTAGCGACAGGGTCATGTTCCGCCACTGCGGCCATGTCGAGATTGCCGTCCTTATCGAGCACGCGCTTCAGCCTCGCGCTATCGTCCTCCGTGAACTCCATGCCTTGGGGGATGGGCCACTTGGCTCCCAGGGCGCACGCCCGCAACACGAGGCACAAGTGGGAGTGCGAACACGTCCCATACGCAACGTCTGTTCCGCAACTGCGGTCGAAGCACGCAGCGAGGTGGCCAGTCGCTTTTTCCAGATTGTACTCTGTGTACGTCTGGAACTTCGGGTCCTCCTTTTTTCTCAGCACCAGCTCTTGTGCTGGGTACATCTGAACGCAGACTCCTTCGTGGTCAGCTTCGGCTTGCGTGAATCCAGCCAGGAAGATTTTCACAGCGAGTTCCCGAACCCTTTCCTGCTGAGGGTAGTGCCCGCCTCGGTTTCCCGTGTGCGGGGCGAGCATGAGCACAGGGAGGCGCACCTTGTCCCCTGTCCTGAATCTAGACCTCAAGGCGTTGGCCCTCTGAAAGATCCCTTGCGTTCCGCCTGGAACTGCGGCTGTCTCGTCCGCACTGCGGCTTTCTTGTCCGCCACTGCGGCATTATCTGTGCCGACGCTGTCGTTCATATCTGTGCCGACGCTGTCCGCCACTGCGGCCCGGAGCTCCGATATGGCGGACTATGGCACGACGTCCGTCGCTCAGGGTGGAGGCGCGTGTGCCAGGAGCCCAACGACCTGCTGAGCCGAATGCCTGCGGACGACTGAAGGCTCAGTTTTAATCCAAAATATCGGGCGAGAGCTTGGGGGGGGTGCAGGCTGGTGGAGGGAGGGGGGTGCAAGCTGGAGGAGGACGAGGAGGGGAAGGGGAAGGAGAGCTAGGACGGAGGTGGCGGGGGGACGCGGCCTGGAGGAGGACGAGGAGGGAGGAGGGAGGAGGGAGGAGGGAGGAGGGAGGAGGGAGGAGGGAGGAGGGACGACGACGACGACGACTGCTGACGACAGACGACAGACTTGACGACGACGACGACCGACGACGACTGCTGACGACAGACGACAGACGCGACGACGACGACGGCAGCGACGACGACGAGGACGGACGACGACGATGATGATGACCCAGCGCGCGCACACTTATAGCAAACTGCGGCTTCGCAACCGCGTGCTCTCCTATTATACGCAACCGCAACTGCGGCTTCGCAACCGCAACCCCGCAACTGCGGGCTATCCTACACCGCAACATGCACTCCATCGCTAATGGGATGCACTACGCAGGCAGCAGGCGCCAGTAGTACCGAGCTCTGTTCCGCAACTGCGGCTCCTCGGTCTTGCCGCACTCACCGCTCGTCCGCAACTGCGGCAGATCGCGCCTCTTCGTGCTTCCGCTTGCTCGCCCGACTCTGGCGTCCGTGGACGACGAAGACGACGTTTTGGTGGATGCCCTCGCACCAGTGCGTGCTGAAGGTCTTCTCGTTGAGCTCCTTCTGAATGACCTTGCCGATTGGGGGCAGCGCTGCCAAGCCGAGCTTTTCTCTGACTCCGCAACTGCGGTCAGGGTCATCCTCCCACTTGGGCATGTACTTCGCTGGGACCCAGCGCCGAGAGATGATGGAGTCGCTTGTTCGATGCATCCAATCAGGGAGCCACTGGGGATCGTTCTTCGACGGCCTCCCTGCAGAATCCGCGTTGTAGTCCGCAATGCGCACGTCGCACGGGCCAAGGGGGAGGACGTAATTCGGATGCATGACGCGCGTGCCCTCCACAAGGCCTCCGAACAGGGCGGGTCCAGCCCTGAGCACCACCCCCATCGGGCAGGTGTAGCTGGCTCCGCAACTGCTGCCAAATGCTTGGAGCTGCTCAGGCGGGATGTCAAACAGGCCGCACAAGAACCGCACATCATTTTTATGGATGGAAGCAACCGCGTCCTTGAAGAAACCTGGCTGCCACGCTGTTTGTTCTGTTTGCGTGGTCTTCTGTTGGAGACGTTCGGTGACTGCGTGTCTGGACACGACGGCAAAACGGATCATCGCGGCAGGATTCATGTCGGAGCCCTTCAGGCGAAAGCGCAGGATCGTGACGGCGTGGGTGGCCCCAACAACATGACCCGCAACTGCGGTCTCTGCGATGATGTGCGGGCGCACGAGCACCACGCCCGTGTCTCTGAACAGGGCAACCGTCGTCCAGTAAGGCTCCGCGGTGTTGTTTTTCAAAGTGACAGCGTCTTCGACGGCAGTCCTGAGTCCAACGGGAACGTCGTAGCTGCAAGCGCCTTCGACGTTCCCCGAGCGGAACAGCTCGGGGTCCCATACGACGAAGACGACCGCCGCAGTTTGGTGCAAGATGCACCTGAAGACATCTTCCTTTGTTGCCACCTTCGTGATGACCACCACGTTGAACACCAAAGCGATGGTGGACGGAACCCGATTGCCGTCTTCTGTACGAAGGAATCCTTCGTTCCACTTGGGGCGTTCCCCAAAGTAGTTTATCCCTGGAGGGGACCTGGTCCGCTGCTTCTTCCGCGGTGCTCCCGCATCTACCCGCAACTGCGGTTCCGACGGAGGCCCCGCGCGACCCCGCGACTGCGGTTCTGACAGCGGCGAGTCTTCCGTGGGAGGCGGCCTTTTCCTCGGCCGCGAATCGGCCGAGGCGGTTGTCTCGGCGGCTTTCTCCTGGGAGGCGGCCTCGTCTTCGGGTTGGGCGCCTCGTTAGGACTCGGCTGCGAGCAGCACGGCCGAGGGCGCGCTGCTCCCAGATGAGCCGCGCGCGGCACCTGGCTCGCCGGCCACCCCCGCAAACTACAACACTTCTACTTCTCTATCTCTGACTATACCTCTACTTGCAGAACTCTACCTACTATACATACATACTCTCAATCCTAACTCTCTCTACTCTACTACCCTCACTCTCCTCTCTTATACTAACTCTTAACTTGCGGTCTCGGTGGCGGCTCCCGTCACTGCTGGTTGGTCCTGCTGCTTCGTCGGCGTCTGCGCCCGAGGCCCCATTTTGCCTTGGGGGTCAAGTGCGCCCTGCGCAACTGCGCCTCTTCGCGCCTCCCACCAGCAGAGCTCCCACTCGCAGCGCTTATCGGCGGCGGCGGCCGATATTCCCGCGAGGAGCTAGACGACTGCGGGGAGGCCTCGCGCGGCGGTCGCTCGGGGCTTCCGCAACTGCGGTCCTCCGTCGGCTCCGCGACTGCGGCATTCGCGGCAGCCCCTTGCAGGCCGAACCTTTCCCGCAGTTGCTGCTTCAGCTCGGCGAACCGCTTGTCGACCTCGGCTTTGCGACCTGGGTCCATGGCGTGGCCGCGCGCGGCCCCCGTCCGACGGGGGAACTGCGGCCGGCGTGGGAGAGGAAGGGCAACGAGGGAGACGGCGGGGATGAGGACGAGGAAGGCGAAGAGGAGGATGGAGAGGACGCGACGGAAGAGGATGGCGCGAAGAGCTCAGACGAGGGTGAAAAGAGCAAGGGGACTGCGACGAGGATGACGGGGCAGAAACGGAGGAGGAGGAATCAACAAAGTCCGCAACTGCGGCCCTCGGGGGGGGCTGCGACGAGGACGACGGGAAATGACTCGGCCAACGGAGGCGGGCTACGGCCAACGGAAGGAACTGCGACGAGGAGGAAAGGCGGAGGGAGGAGACTGCGACGAGGACGACAGGGAAGGGGCGACGAGGACGACGAACAACTGCGGATCCATCTGTTTAAGTACCTGTCTCCGCAACTGCGGCCGCGCTAATTAACGTCACGAGTGCTTCAACGGAGGAGATGCGCGCCCGAAGCACCTAATTACAGCGGTCAGTCGTGGGGGCGCCGCAACTGCGGCCAAGCTGTATGAAGTCGCTAGAAGGCAGCGCCGCAACTGCGGCCGAAAGCGCGCATAGTGAGTCAAACGAGCGCGGCGTCACGCGATCGGTCCCCGCAACTGCGGGTCCATGGCTGCGCAATCCCGCAACTGCGGTGTCAAGGCTGCGCGGACCACCGCGGTTGCAGCTGCGCCCCCTTGCTCGCGTCGAACCGCCCAGGATTCGGATGGGCGTGCAGCATCTTCCAGAACGTGAACGTTCCGTGGCCATCGCTCTTTCCGAGACCTGCCCTCGGGCCCCGCACGGGATGCGAGTGCGGCTCCACCTCATACGTGTTGAACTTCGGGCTAGACCAGGATGGGTGGACGCGAATGCCCGAGCCGTCGACGCGGATGAGGACGAAATCCCACTGGGGCAGAGGGATTCTTTGCGCCTGTCCTCTGTCCACCCCTTTCGTGTGCCTCATGTTGTCGAGACTGCTAGGGCACGGGCGGCACTCGCAGCGGACCAACCCGCGACTGCGGTCATGGTCAGGGCCGCACACGACGCGCAGCATTGTAGGTCCATCCATCTGCGCGACCATCTCCAGCCAAGACCACGGCACTTTGACAGTG